GGTGACAGGTGCCCGGTCCCACGCGGGTTGGCGGCACGTGGCGGTGACTGCGCCGCTGGAGGTGTGACCCCGCCGAGAACACGCTGTTCCCCCGGCACTGGCACTGCTCGGCACGGCTGGAAGGGCGCTTAGGTGTGTTTAGTTTGTATCTGTGAGAGCTGGGATTCGGGCTGGAGAGCTGTTGATAGGGAAAAAAGGATGGAGTAAATCTCTTGCATGGATATGTAAGGAAGGACTGAGAAGCAGGGAAGGGGAGGATTTATAAACTACATCAATATTTGACCCAAATTTGGGGGGAAACAGTGATGGGTGTGTTTGGGCTTGGTCTGGGCTGGTCAGGATCAGCCATAAACAACCCCACCAGACCCTGAACCCTCAATGGACTCATCCAGCACCTCAACAGAAACCCAAGTCAGTAATTACTACAGAGCAGAAATTATTGAAAAATTACCAGGAAAAAAAGGAACTTCTGTTCTTCATGGCAAACCTTCTGTGACTCCTTGTGCAGTCTCTGCATGCTGTTCTAGGAGTTACTAGTTAGTAACAAAACCTGTTAGAAATTCAGATGTAGGATTCAACTTTGGGTCTGTTCCCTACAAACTCCTGAAGGACTGGAGTGGTGACTGCTCTCAGTGAAGGTTGTTTATTAATATTCTGTCTGATTTCCCTCAGCTCTGGGCAGGAAAGGCAAGGGTTTGGGCCAGGCATTGTGCAAGCAAGGCCTGTGTGCCCGTGGATGTCTCGTGGGTGTGGCAGGGCTGGGACAAGGACTCATGCAGGGACTGAGCTGGCACTGGAGCTGTTGCCATTCTGAGCATTCCCAAGGTGTGACTGGAGAAGGAGGACAACATCCAGGGATGCTGAAGAGGGGGATCTGCTGAGCTGGGTGGCAACAAACCCGGAGCTGCAGGAATTTGGGTGCTGCTGGGGACGTGTCACCTTCCAGCCGAGCATCTGTACCCGGCATTCCATTCCCCCTCCGGAGGTGGTTCCAGCTCTGGGTGGGCTGGGGGGGCAGCAGGATCCATGGGGATGGAGCGAAGCATCCCCAGGGCCCTCCCCCAGCTGTGGTGCCGAGTATCCTGGGGGCTGCACTGGGGATGGAGCGAGGAGAGGAGCGTCGTGCTCCCTCCATCCCTCCGGTGCTTTCCCACAGCCCGGAGCTTCCCGGCTCACACGGAGCTCACACGGTTCCCTTTAGAAAGGGAGGCCGTGGAATGTTAGGTTTTGGTTGTTTTTTTAACTTCAATCTTTCGAGTTAGTGCTCTGAATTAATTTATTTCTGTCTTGCTCCCAATGGTGCATTCCCCAGCAGTCCCACAGCAGCTCTTGGGCAGTGCAGCTGCCAGAGGTCTCTCGGGACTGTGGGACAGGCAAAAACTCCACGGCAAAGAAGAACCTTGATTTGGGAGATGGAGAGTTTAATGGCATCAGTTTGAGCTGTGCCAGTCCAGGGAATGTCAAAGGAAAATCCAGGACCCCTCCAATGGGAGTGTTTTTCCCAGAGGTGTGGAAACACAGGGACAAGATTTTGGCAGAAAGAGAGTCCCTGAGATTTGGGGTGATTTTTCCAGTTCCCTCTGTGGGTTGTCCCTCTCAGCCCCACTGGCCGAGCGGGAGGTGCAGCAGCAGCAGCTCCAGGGACTGGAGCTGTTGGGTGGGTCTGGGAGCCCAGATTGCCATCCCAGTGCAGCCTCCCAGGGGGATGTCCCTGCAGCAGCGCACTGGGAAGGGAGGAGACATCTCCTGGCACTGCTGGAGCCAGAGTGGGAGATGTGGCCCCATCCCCGGGGACATTCCCTGGGCCGTGGGGCAGCCAAACAAGAGCTGGGGGGACTCCAACCCTTTGAGGGCTGCCCTGCCCTCCCTTTATTTTTCCCCCTTGTTTTGGGTGGCATGTCCATGCGTAAAGGGCTTTCTGGAAACACCAAGCTGCTGCTCAGGGCAGCTGGACGCGTTTTGTGCCTTCTCTGGGGGTGGGGGAGTCTGGGGGGCGATGGTGTCTTTAGGGGCACCCCAGTGTCACTGGGAGAGCAAGGGTGGGGTGGGATGAGAGGGGTCATGTGGGGTCACCCCAAAAAGGGAGATGACAGCCTCCAAATGCCTGAAAATTCATGAGGGGGGGGGGTGTGTAAAATACTGTAAAAACCTATAAATTTCTCATCATTATATTTATTGCTACAAAAATTGTTTCCAAAATAAACCCTCCCATCTGCCCCGGGCGGGCGGGGCGGGGCCGCAGGGACAGCGCGGGCTGCGATTGGACGGGGGCGCTCGAGTGCTGATTGGGCAGCGGCTGCCGGGCCCGCGCTAGAGAAGGGCGGGCGGGGCCGGCGCGGCTGCGGCTGTTTGTGCGTGAGGGCTGAGGGTGGGGCCGCTGGGCTGGGCTGGGCTGGGGGCAGAGCGCGGTGTGCTCTGTGCCCGTGGAACGGGGGAGCTGGGCGGTGTTTGGGTGCGCGCTGGGCTGGGCTGGGCTGGGCTGGGCTGGGCTGGGGCAGAGCGCGGTGTGCTCTGTGCCCGTGGAACAGGGAGCTGGGCGGTGTTTGGGTGTGCGCTGGGCTGGGCTGCGGAGGCTGGGCTGGGCTGGGCTGGGCTGGGCTGGGCTGGGCTGGAGCTGGGCTGGGGGCAGAGCGCGGTGTGCTCTGTGCCCGTGGAACGGGGAGCTGGGCGGTGTTTGGGTGTGCGCTGGGTTGGGCTGGGCTGGGCTGGGCTGGGCTGGGCTGGGCTGGGCTGGGCTGGGGGCAGAGCGCGGTGTGCTCTGTGCCCGTGGAACGGGGGAGCTGGGCGGTGTTTGGGTGTGCGCTGGGCTGGGCTGCGGGGGCTGGGTAAGCCCGTTCCCTGCCGGGGAGCCCCGGGGGGAGCCGTGGCGGGGCTGAGGGGCTGTTGCTCTCTGGGTGTATCAGGCTTTGCCTCGGAATTCCAAAACCTTTCCCCGTGCAGGGCTATGAAGCAAAGACTCGTCTCACTTTGTTGGTGCTGCATTAATGCTTTTTGCTCCTTTTCTAAAGAAAGAATGAAGAAGGGAACTCGGGCAGCAGCCAAGCAACACCAAGTTACTCTGCAACCAGGTGAATTGCCTTGAAGTTGATAAGGTGGTCACTCAGAACTTTGGGGGCTCCAGGCACAGGTGACCACCAGAGACCCCCGATGGAGCCCCTCAGAGACCTTATAAGCGTTTGTGTGTATGGTCACAGGTGCTGGGGAATGTCCTGAATATGAAACAGGAATGCAGGGAACAAAATGAACCCTCATGTAATGCTGAGCCCTCCCATCAGCTGCAGTGGAGACACCTCTGTGTGCACTGTGGGAGCTGATTGCCACGACATCCAGAGGGCTGGGATCATTGCAGGGTGTTGTAAGCAAGGAATGCCTGGCTTCTAAAACTCACCAGCTGAGTCTTAGAGGCTTCTTTGCCGAGCTGTTTTCAGGCAGCCAAATGGGCCCTCAGCAGGGACTCTGTGCCTGCTCTCCCGTGGTTCCGAGGGATCTCTGGGCCTTCATGCCAGCACCGAGATGTTCTCGGGAAGGCCCTCAGATCCCCGGAGCAGTCTGGGACACAGGCACGATCCCCCTGCATTTTGGGAGCAGATTGGGCCCCCTGGAGGGACAGTGCTGTTGGTGCCCTCAGACTCGGGCACCCTGAGAACATGAGTGCACACCAAAAGGATTCTTTGGGGAGTTCCTCTGGGTGCCCCAAGCTGGGGAGCTCAAAGCAAGGTCCCTGGAATGGATTGAGGCATTCCTGAGGGTATCAGAGGTGTACCTGTCTGTCCTGGCCATGGAGCTCTGGAATGGACTGTAATTGGGTTATAAAAGCAGTGCTGCAACTGCAAAAGAAGTGTGGGATTGGGAATAAAGAATGAGTGGTGATGGTACTGTTGGCTGTTTTCTCTTGAGTGGAATTGTGAGAGCTGACAGGAGTGCAAGGTGTGGGTTCCAGTCCCCACCATTTGGTTTGCACATGTCCTGGTCAGACACAGGTCCAACTTCCTCACTCCTGAACACAATGGAAGGAGAATTAAGGAATGGCACTGTGAAGGTGATTGATTGTGACAGGGGTTAAACTGGGAAAACAATGAGTAATTCCTCAGTTTCTCTCTTTGCCAACCCCGGAGGGGGTTCCCCCTGCCCCCGTCCTCCTCCCCGAGCCCCCTTCTCCGGAGGGGGCCCTTATCCCTGCCCCCGCCTCCCCCCGCCCCAAACGGCCCCTGGGTTCGGTCCCGGCAATAGACCTCGACGTCTATTCCCGAGACCGAACCCGCACCTGCCCGTGGAGCCCCAAGTGTGATGTCGGGACGGGCCGGAGCCCCGGCCGTGTCGGGCAGTGCTTGTGAACTGCAGGGGGGGACCCGCCGAGCGGGCCCGGACACGTGTGGGGGATCCAGGGGGGCGCCGGGTCCGGCCATCGCGGCTTTATTAAACCGGCGCTCCCAACCCCGCGGCTGCGGGACGCGCACAGGGGGACAGGGGAATGGGGGGGTCGGGATGTGCGGTGGAGCAGGGAGAGGGGAGCCGGAGGAGCCAGGGGGGCCGGGGTGTGTAGGAGGGCAGCGACAGGGGCCAGGGGGAGGCGGCGTGCAGGGAGAGCCAGGGCGGAGGGAGAAGAAGCAGGGGAGGGAGGGTCGCGGTGTGCGGCAGGGGACAGAGAGGGAGCAGGGCCAGGCGGGTTGAGGCACCAGGGAGGGCGGAGGGGCAAGAACGAAGGCTGGGTGGGTCAGAGTGCCCTGCGGGCAGGGACGGGGCATAGGGGACGACCGGGTTGGGGAGGGGGAGGGGGCTGTGGGGGGGTGGGGAGGGAGAGGAGGAAGAAGGG